GGACGATTTATTTGAATTTTATGTATTATTTTTATACCCTTGCAGAGGGTATTATAATTTTGGTCAAAAGTGTGCAACGCAGTGAAGGAGACATCTCCGACCCTATAAAGTATATATATTCTTGATCAGGATCACCTCCTGAGTTGATATAAGCATGTCCGTCTGTCCGTCTGACTGTTTCTACGCAAACTAGTCTCTCAGTTTTAAAGATATCGAATTGAAACTTTGCACACACCCTTCTTCCTATAAAAATATAAATTTTAGGACATTTGGTCCGTATTTATTTGCACAAAAATTGGAACTAAATTATGTTTACAGAAATTGCCATATTTATACCTAATAACTTTGTCGCTGCCTCTGCCAACGTCGGAGCTTTGGCGTTGTCGTCGCTGCAGCGGGAAGTGGTTCAGACGCTGCAGTCAGCACTTTTTGGGAGCTACTGACCGGGAAGTTGCCCTTGCACTTCTACTTGCTGGTGCAATACCGGATGCGCGTGGCCAACTTTGGTTGCGAATTCGTTTTGTGTTAACTCCTCCACCTTTAAAATCGAGTGTCCACGCTCGATGCGGTCATTGATCTCGTTATCAGAAGCTATTTTGTTGATGTGCAGTATTTTGACCCTTTTAATCTAGAAGCGGCTAGCTAGTGCAGTTAGTCCGATGATTATTATGGAACTTATTAGAAAATCGGCTGTATGCGATGTTGTTTTTAGCAGTTCCAAGGTCTTGGTATTGTTGATGTTCAGTTCTTTTACCAATTCTAATGATAGCTTTTCTTCTATGGTCATCTCAGTTTGGAGAATTGCTGGCATCGGGTGATAGTGTACCGTGTCTTTGTTGGTGAAGGTCTGTCCATCAATATTAATTGTGGAATTGCTGAAGTTAATAACAAAGGTTCCGTTGAGACTTGTAGATGTCCCATTTATTTGTACGTTGCCGGAGAATTTGTTGAGTAGAATGACTCCAGGTGTGAGTTCGTCAATAACTAAATGTGTTGGTTGTTGATTCGAGTGCAGGTGGCAGTGCAACTTTTTAATAAATTTGGTAGGCAAGAGGAATTACTTATGTCTATCATATTTCTTTGTGTACAAATGGTTATCTCTTTATAATTATTACAATTTTTGCAAAAAGTTTTCCTTTACATTTGATTACATTTTCGCTTTGAATTTTATTAACATATTGACCAATTTTTATTGGTTTGATTAAAAGTTCTTCACAATAGTTGGTGTCGGTTATAGGAATTTTAATGATATAAATAAGTGTTGGCCCATTGCTTGCTACGCTTACTTCTGCTATTTTCATGGCTTCTTCAAAATTAGTGTATGGCAACTGGTCTTGATCAAGTGTTTTTATAACTTCATTTACCTCTTCATCTCCTAATATCTGGGTGTTACTAATATCTGTTTTTGCCCATTGTATTGCGTGGTTTAAGTTGACAATTTCTTCTTTAAGCATTTTAATTTGAAACATTAATATTGTGCTAGTGTCTCTTTGAGGATCTCCTCCGTATTTTAAGCTGTTTATAAGATTTGCATTGGTCTGGGTGATATTATTTATTTTTTCTACGATAAGTCTGTTTAGAATAACTTGATTGTTGTTGTTAGTTAATGCTGAATTTATTTTTTCCTGAACTATTTCGAAATCTCTACTGTCGGGAGATCCAGCTAACCATTTCCAGGCGCTGCCTAATAAATCTATATATCTTTTCCTTCTACTCTTAATCTTGAGGTTATTAATAAAATTTTTTGAAATTCTAATTTCTTCGGTTATAAATGGCAATATTGGGTCGTATGTTTTTAATTTATAGTTAGCAGTGTAATTAATTTTTTCAAGTGTTTCTTCGTATTTTTCTAAGTCAATAATATGAATTAATCTGAAGGTTCCCGTTTGAACCTTTGCCAGTCCGGTAATTAGAGTCACGATATTGGATTTCGTGTAGTCAGTTATTTGTACGTCAGCAGCGCACGCAGTGAAAAGGGTTCTGTAAATGTGATTTAATTTCGAATAAGTTGTTTATGAATAATTCTTCCAGTTTCTGTTAGTACTGTGGTGTTTCTGTCTTCTTTTACAGTTTCTTTTTATAACTGGCGGATAGTTTTGTACCTAATATTTTATTATTTTGAACAAATATCTTATCTCCTGGGGAATATTTTTTTATTTGATCTCTACTTTTGTTATGGTATGTTAGGTCTTTTTCCTGAGTGGTTGTAATGTTCTCTGTAATTTTTTGTCTCTCTGTTTGTTGTAGTTTAGGGTTAAGTGCTACCTTTCTTCCAAAAAATAAGTCAACTGGTTTTCTGTTAGTGGTTGAGTGTATTGAATAATTATATTTGACAACTGATCTGTCTATAAGATCTTTTAACGAAGCGTGTACTTTGTCGGCCTTTTGGCACCGAATAATTTCTGACAGTGTGGAATGGAAACGTTCGATTTGGCGGTTTGCTAAACTGTTATATGGAGGTGTTTTGTAAACTTCGATATTAAATTGATCTTGTAGCATCCGCATTACGGGAGCCGAACCAAGTGATTTCTCATTATCCATTACTACTATTTCTGGGATACCAAAATTGATTAATAAATCTTTTAAAGGTTCTTTTATGTCTTGAGTTGCTCGAGATTTGACTATCCTAGCCTGTGCAAATTTTGAAAATTTATCTATTGCAGTCAAAACGACTTGTTTGCATGTGAGGTAAAAATCAATCAATTTGACCTGGGTGTTGTGGTATTGGTGTTTTTTGTAACTCTGGTTTGTTGGGGTGTCTTTCGTATTTATGTTCCTTACAAATTTGGCATTCTTTTACAAGTTTTATTATCTTGGCCCTCATGTGTGGAAACAATTGTTGTTTGTTTTCATTGCTATTTCTATGTGCTCTTCTATGCTCTGTTATAATTGCATTCTCTTGATCAGTTTCGTCTTTTAAATCTTTAACTAGTCTGCTTGAGAATCTGGTTTTATATTTATTGAAAAGTGGATAGATTTCCTGAAGTTGACCTAAGGTTTTTTCGTCTGTATGAATTCCGTTAATGACGGACGGGTTGAGTCTATCTCTTAAAATTTTTTATAAGATTTCTGAATTAAAAATTGGTTCTGTAATAAAGACACATTATTACAGAACCAATTTTTAATTCAGAAATCTTATAAAAAATTTTAACGTGGGAAAAACAAGTTCGAATTTATAGGAGGGTGTATTTCCTAAATATAATAGTATAATAAAACATTTACTGGTTCTTCTGCCATTGGTATTAGTCTGTCAGGAGAACTAGAACTGCTGTGAATAGTGCCTGTTAGTAGAGCTGCAAAAAAATCGATAGTAGCACCATCGATAGTTTTGAATTTTTGCGGAGTAAACATCGATACTATCGCGATAATATCGCCCAGATGTAAACATTAGGGGTATTCATGTAAAACCAATATAATAGGGGCATTCCTTTAGGCAATTATTTATTAAAAATAGTGTAATTAGGAAAATTTTAATTTTCAATTATTTACAATTAAAAACACAATTAGTTTAATTTGTTTAAATTTAAGTGAGACCTTTTCTTTAATAGCTTTGGCAGGATTAATTCTAATACTTTTCCTTTGTAAGGAACCAGTTTTTGTTTATAAACAAAAGAATATTAACAGTCTTTGGTTTTAACGATGCCCGTCGATCGGATATAGTAAGGCCCGCCTTGGAAAACATTCGTTCAGATTCCGTGGAAGTTGCGGGAATGCACAGTCCCTGCTTTGCGCTTATAGCCAGTTGGGGCATCTCTTGTTCATGTTGCTGCAGTAAAAAAAAATAAAAAATAATAATAGAAAGAATAGAAAGAATTAACTTACCTTCCAATATTCTAAAGGATCATGAGTTTCTTCTAAGTTCATGCGTTCGAAATACTGCCTTAGCTGTATGATTGACTCAACTTTATTAGATCTTTGCTTCAAATCAATATTTTGTTTCACAAAATGAAGTAGCGACGTTTTTTGTTTTGGTGGTTCCGGAGTGAAAGTGGGTTCCTTATTGGCTTGAGGGAGAGATGAAATTGTTTTCTCGAGGAGAGAAACGGCTTGCTCCGCATTAAAATGAGACCGGAAACCCTCTTTTTTAAATCGAGGATCCAAAATTTTAGCCAAGCGTGTGAAGGACCGTTCTTCATAAGGAAATAGTCGTTTTTTACACTTCTCTATTAAAAGGTGGCACAGTGTTTTTCCTTCTGCTGTCCTTAACTGGTCGCATTTTTCATTTAGACTTTGGACAAGTCCATTTGAAATGGGAATTACACTGGACACAGTCACTTTTGTGCTCGAAGACAATTGCTTCGTTACTTCATCAAACGGAGCCAGCAGGTCTTTCAAATCCTCCAATAAAGTAACATCGTCTGCTGCCAGCGGCTCCGGCGCCATGGACAAGCTAAGCAGCATTGGTGAAATAAACTCTTTGGTTAAGAGTATGCGCTCGACCATTTGGAAAGCGCTGTTCCAGCGTGTGCATACCTCCTGTTTCAGGCTGTATGGCTTGCCGAGACCTTGAGCTATTTTGAATTTTTCATAGGCAATTGTGCTGCTTTTAAAAAAGGTCACTATTCGCTTGCATTTAGCTAACACTGTATGAATCTCTTTTATAGCAAGGCAGTCTTGTATTACCAGGTTAAGGACATGAGCATAGCACGGAAGATGTCTTTTCTCAAGAAGTTCACATGCCTTCACCATGTTGCTAGCATAGTTACGGATAAAACTATTGCGCAAACTTTTGGCAACAGATTCCATTTTATCAGTTCTGCGCGCAATGATGATGCGATATTGTCAGCAGAATGATTTGTTGCACATAGGAGTGGCTGTGTTGCCAATACTGCCGAATTTAGCTGGAAGTTTCCGTCAATGAAGTGAACAGTTATGGTCAAATAACCAGTGTTGGCTTTGCTTGTCCAGCAGTCCGTTGTAATCGCACACTGATCGACTTTGTCAAGCATCAACTGTAGTTTTTCACTGAGCTCTATGTACATGTTTTTCATTTTCACGATCTAACAGCTTGACAAACTTCCTAAACCCTTCGTCCTCCACAATAGAAAAAGGTTGTATGTCCTTAGCAATCATGCCCATCAACGCTAATCAAGACTTGCTTTTCGGACCGAATTGCTGTCGTACTCATCGTTAGTAAACAATGTCTTTATTGTCGGTTGTGTGGCCTTGTACTGGCTGTGAGTTGGGTGGAATCTCCTTAAATGGTCAGCAAGGTTGCTAGTGTTTCCGCTAGTTTTGTAAATTTTTTTACAAATTCGGCATTTTGCTTGTCTACCATCTTTTGTTTTCTCAAAGAGATCCCACACCGAACTTGCCAGTCGGCTCAACTTTTTCAAAGATTTCTCTTGCGCCTTGCCCACTTCTTCAATACCTTTCGATGCTGTCTGCTCCACATCCTTGTCTCCATCTTTTGTGAAAAAAAAATATTTGTGAATTTAATCTCTTAATATCTTTTCCATCCACTTACTTTTTCCCTCGCCATCCATTTTTAAGGAACCACCGAAACCACCAAAATTTGAATATTGCTGTCGAAAACAAAAAAAAAATTAGTAAATATTTAATTTTTCGCATCCAAACGTGTTTACCTTCTTAATTCTTCGAAATCCAAGTGATGAAAATTTTTTGTAATACTATCGTGATAGTCTAAAAAATATCGTAGACGGTCACCGGCGGCCAGCCATCGATATTATCGATAGTACCATCGATTTTTTTGCAGCTCTACCTGTTAGTGTGTTTACTTCCCCTCGCGTTTGAATGGGAGGTCTACTCAGAGCATCGGCAACAACGTTTGCTTTGCCAGGTTTGTGGAACAGTTCGTGATTGTACCCCTCTAGAATTGCTTTCCATTTCTTCATCTGATCGTTACGGCTTTTAGGGTTAGTTGGGTGTGTGAGAGATTCGTAGTCTGTAAATATTTTCACTTTAGTCGGACCGTACAGAAAATTTCTAAGAGTCTGTATAGACCAAATTATAGCTAGCAATTCCTTTTTGTTAGGGGCATAACTTTCTTCTGCCTTACTTAGAGTCCTAGAAATAAACATTATAGGTTTGTCTTCTTGGGCCAATACGGCACCAATAGCATAATCTGAAGCATTGGTAGTTAATTAAAATTCTTTATTGTAGTGTGGATATGATAACATTACCCCGTCGGAGGCGAGAGTTTGTTTTAATTTTCTAAATGCTTCCCTTGCCTCTTTGTCAAGATCAATCAGAGTTTTGCTTGAGGCATTTTTTGAGATACGGCCTCGTCCCTCTTCCCCTCTTAAAAGCGCTGTCAGGGGCTTTCCAAGCTTTGCATAATCTTTAATGAAGCGACGGTAGAACCCTGACAGTCCTAAAAAGGAACGAAGATCTTTAAGTGTCTTTGGTTCGGGGAATTCGACGATTGCTCTCACCTTTTCCGGATTTTTCTTAATACCGGTATCTGCTACTAAAAATCCTACAAATTCAACTTTTTTCTTAAAAAGTTCGCATTTATCTAACTGAATTCTCATGTTTGCGCCTTCAAGAATTTTGAATGTCATCTAGCGCTCTTTGAAAAATGGAAGGGGCATTTTTAAGTCCAAACGGAAGTCTGGTAAACTTATTTTTGCCTTGATTTACTGAAAATGCGGTTTTTTCTATGTCTGATTGTCTGAGTGGGATTTGGTGAAATCCACTTTTAAGGTCTAAAACAGAAAAAAATTTATTTTGTCCTAGTTGTGCCAGTACATTGTTTATGTCTGTTATAGGGTATCTGTCTGGAATATGTTTTTTCTGTCCGGAGGCATCCATTTTTTTGGGTACAATCCATATTGGAGAATTATACGGAGACCTTGAAGGTCTAATTACGCCGTTTTCGAGTAGCTCTTGTATTTGTTTTTCGACTTCGGGCCTAAGAGCTTCTGGGTATGGGTAGTGCCTCGAGTATATTGGACTTTCGTTTGTACTTCTAATAGTGGCTTCTACTTTGGTGGTGTATGTCAGTTTTTCGTCCGGGTCGCCAAATAAGTTTGGAAATTTTAAGCAAATAATTTTTAAATTTTCTTTTTGCTTTTTTGTTGTATGGTCTATTCGAATATCTAACTTGTTGACTTCGGGAGAAGCTTTATGTTTTATTTTAATTTTACGTTTGTTATACCCGTTACTCGTAGAGTAAAAGGGTATATTGTATTCGTGCAAAAGTATGTAACAGGTAGAAGGAAGCGTTTCCGACCCTATAAAGTATATATATTCTTGTTCAGGATCACTAGCCGAGTCGATCTAGCCATGTTCGTCTGTCCTTCTGTCTGTCCGTCCGTATGAACGCTGAGATCTCGGAAACTATAAAAGCTAGAAGATTGGCATTTTGCATGTAGATTTTAGGAGTTCCTACGCAGCGCAAGTTTGTTTCAAAATGGTGCCACGCCCCCTCTGACGCCCACAAGCCACAAGCTGTGGCCACAGTTTTGATGCTATTATGAAAATTTTAATTGATATGTATTTGTTTCGTCAATACCTATCGATTGGCTGAATAAAAGTTTGCCACGCCCACTCTAACGCCCAAACACCCATTAAACGCTTAAGCCTGGCTAGCGCCTACATTTCCGCCTTTCATGGCGCCATGTAACGGATGACTTTGGAACAGCTGGCCAAGGTGCTCAACAGAGTCAACGTTAATTCTCGATAAGGATTTCTATTAAAGGAAATTGCGATGGTTTTCATTTGTCAATACCGAACTATATCCCAAGAACTATGCAAATCAAATCAAGTTAGCCAAGTTGGAGGTCTGAGTCAAACGATGGCGTATGTGTGTATGTATGTAAGCATATACATATGTATGTATTTACATTGTACACAGTTGCAATCGTTTAGCTGAGTAACGGGTATCTAATAGTCGAGGCACTCGACTATAGCGTTCTTTCTTGTTTTTAATTAAAATGTAACCTTCCTGCATATTTATTTGAGCGTTGATTTCGCGAAGTGTATAATTTCCTATAATAGCATCGAAAGATTTTAATGAGGGTAGTAAAAAGAATTTAACAAATGTATCTTTTAAGTCAAATGGGTTGGCAATTGCGTGGTGGGTGATATGGATATCTCCGGCTACGGAGCTTACATAAAAAGATTTATTATTTTCGATTGGTTTTTTTACCAATCGCGGTTGGATATAATTTTTATTAGAGCCGGTGTCTATTAAAATTTTGACCATCTCTCCATCACCGGTTTTACATTGAATGAAGAGGATTTTACTCTAAAAAGTAAAGGCCATTATATTCGGTTTCCTCTGTTTCTTGTTCGAAATCTGGAATTTCCGCGTAGTATTCAGCTGCTGTCTCGTCAGTTTCCGTTAATTGGTCGGTATTTTCTAATGTCTGTTCTTGTTCAGTGTTTATGTGAAAATTTCTCTGTCTTTTATCTACCAGTCCGCTTGTCATTTGAGGTGGTGGTCGTTTTCCCTGCATTCCATTATTTGGTCTGTTCATATAATTTATTTGTCTTGTCTGTAAACTTTTATCTATATCCATAGGTTCTGGCTTAGGCTGAGGTTTTGGAGCCAATGAACGTGGTGGTTGTATTGCTGGGTAAGCAGAATATTGTTGTCGATGTCCACTGAATTGCATTTGCTGCTGTGGAAATAGGGTGTCGTTTTCGGGGTCTGTGGAACGTGAGCTAAATGTGGGATAAATGGTTGTCTAGCTGTGTTGAATGGTTGCTGTGCCAATTTTTTTTGGTAAGGCAGGTCCTCTAGTAGGGCCTTCAAATTTTCTTGAATTGTTTTGATTATTATTGGCGTAATTGGTTGTGAAATTTTGATTTTCTAGTCTTTCGCAAAGTTGAAGTGCAGATGGAAGATCTGCCGGCTCTTTAGTACCTAGCAGTCTAGGCAAGTCGCCGTTAAGACCTCTAATAAAAGTATCAAGCGCCTTGTCTCTGTAAGATTTGGCAAAAAGGTCGATTGATTCTCTTCCCATTTCCATGCATGAAATTTTGTTCAAGATGAGTGATAAGTGAGTATAGACCTGTTGGTAGAAATCTGCTGTGGTTTGATTACCCTGTACTAGCGAAGTCATCTGATATTCTAATGTCGTATCAGCGTAGTGGGCTGTTAAACATTTGGAGATTGCTGTCCAGTTTAGTGGTGTGTTATATGATTCTAGAACTGAGTCTGCATTACCTACTATTTTGTTTCTAATAACATTTAAAATTGAATAGTACCTGGGGGATCCTTCTGTTAATAAATAAATTTTTATTATTCTCTCTACGCTCTTTCTCCAAGAGCTGAATTCTCCTGCTTGCCAGAAAATTCCCTGAGGCTTTTTACTATGTCTGGGACTCTGTCAAATTCATTCATATTATTTGCATTAGCAGTATAGGTTTGATCGAGTAGCGGCACTGAATCTGGATTTAATTTTTGATTTAGAATTCTCTCTACTATTTCTTGTATTTGGGCTTGCATATTAACTAAGTTTGCTGGGACTTGGTTTATTTCAGGAGCTTGTACCCCACTATTGGGTAGCATCGCGGGGCTGATCAGATTATTAGGATTAGCCATTGTAATAAAATATTTTTTGTTTGTGTAGGGTTGTATGTTAAATCTAAATTCTTAAAATAATAATTTTTTAGATTTAGATATGATTTGTTTTGTGTGTTTCTTTGCTTTGTTTTTGCTTTTGTTGTGGCTTTTTTGCCTTTGTTTTAGCTTTTTTAGCTTTTGTTTAAAAGATTTGTTTTAGGTATGTTTCACTTTTGTGATTTCTTATTTGGTTTGTGGTTTGTAATTAAAAGTTAGCTTACAGTAAAATAAAATTCATCCTGAACCGGTCAGTTGGTAGTAGTCCTTTTTGCTCCTTGCTACTGGGGTACCTTTTCCTGACACTCCCGTCCAGTTGTCTACGGCGATCGCCTGCAGTCTGATGTAAGTGAGTCCTTTTCTTGGCGGGTCGTCCAGCAGTGTTGCCTTTCCTTTGGTGCGCCTTTTTTCCGGTGTTACCAGGGCAGCCTATGGGGTGCACTTGCAGGTGATTTTTGGAGACGCGACTTATTTTTCGGATCGGTGGAACCCGGGCAGCCTATGTGGTGCTCTTACGAGTGTTCCTTTGATTCGATACCATGGATATTTCCGCGGACAGGACCCTTAAACGTTGGGCGCCAGTTAAACACGAGTGACTTCAGTATTTAAAAAAATATAAATTTTAGGACACTTGGTCCGTATTTATTTTCATAAAAATTGGAACTAAATTATGTTTAAAGAAATTGCCATATTTATACCCAATAACTTTGTCGCTGCCTCTGCCAACGTCGGAGCTTTGCCGTTGTCATCGCTGCAGCGGGAAGTGGTTCAGACGCTGCAGTCAGCACTTTTTGGGAGCTACTGACCGATGCCGGGAAGTTGCCCTTGCACTTCTACTTGCTGGTGCAATACCGGATGCGCGTGGCCAACTTTGGTTGCGAATTCGTATTGTGTTAACTTATATGTCGGAACGGACGGAATCGGCCGACTATATCCTATAGCCGCCATATAACTGATTGATCGGAAATGCCATAACTTTGGTGTTTGTTAAGTTAGGAAGTTGGGATTTTCTATGGGTTTTATTTTTGGCCAATCAATCCGACCTATCAAATTTCATAAGGATCGGCTTATATCCTATAGCTGCCAT